TGCGGTAACATTAACACTTCACAGTCAAATCCAGTAGATATCAGACTTCAGCATTTTCACTCCTATATTTAAGTTTCCATCAACCAATTTATTTTAGCGTCCTTCATGGGTGAATGAAGCTGCTGGTGTAATTTTAGCTTCTACCTGAGACGTGCAGACGGCTTCCCTCCCTTTATTTACTCCATCAAAACCCGCATTATGTTACCTGTAGTGGTTAAATATTTCTATTTACTCAGTAGATTTACTGTGTCTCTCCGGATTACATCACCCATGAGTTTTCTATACTGTTCTTGAAGTTTTCATTGCTCAATGAGAAATTTGTTTTGTTGATATGTAAAGTAAGTAATTGGCTCTAGACGTTAATTGATGATATGTCAGCACGTGTTTGGTTAACTGTGGTTAAAGGCCAATTTTCCTGCCAAAATGAATTTTCCTCGGGTAAAGGGCAATTTCTTCTTACTCATGAATCATTGTTTGACCCATCCCTGCTCTTGGATTCAATGTTTTGTTCAATTTTTAGTGTTAAGATTTAGTCTAAAATGACTAGACTAGGCAGTCATTAAAACAACATCTGCCATCACACACATTGTTTTGATTTCACAAATTAAAGAAAATTGCTAAAGCAAAGGGTATGCTTCAGGTAAACTACATATCTAAAGGGTTTTATAGTTTTTAAACTCTGAGTTGGAAATATTACAAGATTTACAAGGGACGAATATGACTGTTGGGGATTTTCAAATGCATGGAGAAAATCTTTAGGTATTAATGTTGCAGTTTTCTTGTATAACATGTGACAATTAACATGATTAAAGTATATCTGCTTTGACCTAAACAAACCTTACTATATCACAATCGTGCTAAATCTTTGATGTATTCAGCATATTTTAATTTGAAAATTATGTTTCTTCCTATTAAGGCAAGAATCAAGAAGATTATGCAAACAGATGATGATGTTGGCAAAGTGGCTGCTGCTGTACCAGTTATTATTTGTATCCTTTTCAACAAGTACCTGTATTTTAGATAATTCTTATCTCCTTATGTTTCTGTCATTAATTTTGTAAAGTGACATTCTGTGGTATTTGTTTTGCATTACATTTGGATTTTTAACTCTTTTAAAGTTGTTTTTACACAAAGGTTAATACATAAATAGTTCAGATTTGGTGGGAATATTGATAAGAGCAATCCTAAACTTTTGTCTTAAAAAATTCTTAAAAAATTATTGATTACATTTCGTTGAGAAATATTGGTGATTATCATTATGGTTGGGAAAAAATGGACAACCATTTTCATCAATCAACTTCAACTACAAAAGTCTGATCTGTTAGTGATTTTTAAAGAAAAAATTAAAATATTGAAACAAAAATATGTTGTGTTATTTTGAAATAGCATTTTAGCTTTTTAACTTTTTAAAAAATATAGACTTTGATTAACATATAATTGTAATTAAAGTGTTTTGTAGATCTCACTTAAATTTTCAGTGTTTACCCTAAGAACATGTACTTCCTCATACCTCAATTTTAACATTGGAAATGAAATTTATTTTTAGTTTTATATATGCCAAAAAATTCCCTCTTAGTAGTGCAAACTTTCACATTTTTCAAGTTAAACACTGCAAAATTTATTTAATCAAAAAATGTGCCTTTTCAATTTTTTTTTGTCCAGGACACAAATACCACAGAATGGGATTATAAATTTAGTCATTTGCTGAAAGAATGGTTCCATATTTACAGTAATTAATGTAAAATTTGAAGACCTATAAATGTTATGTTTGTTTATTGGCTAAGGCAGTTTTGAACATCAATCTGCTGTGTAGTGCTGTTAGTGCAAAAATGCAAGGAAATGTATTTTCCTCAACTTTCTCAGCAAGAGCTCTTGAACTATTCATAGAGTCCCTTATATCCAGAGCTAATGATATTACACAATCAAAACATGCCAAAACTCTTTCAGCTGCTCATATGTAAGTGTTTTAATTTGATGAAAATGGTATTGCAATTTTTGATAAGTGGAACATAAACGGCATTTTTTATACAAAAGAGAGACAGAAATACTTGTCAGATAAAGGACTACATGATTTTAAATGAACTAACAGTTGGCCTGAGACTGGATGAAAAGTGTGAAAAATTCTAATATGACTAATCACCTATAAAAAAGTCGCAAACTTCCAAAGGATATGTAAAACCTTGGTATAATTTATGTTCACCATCTGTTGAAAAATTGCAGGAAGCAGGCCATAGAATCAGAGAAGAAGTTTGACTTTTTACGTGACCTAGTAGCTAGCATTCCAGATGTCCAGTGCGAGGAAGGAGATGGAGAGGGAAGTGTTCACACTGCTAATAATGCTGAGGACAATGCCCCAGTGTCTGGTACAAGACCATGGAAAACGGGGTAAGGTTAACCTAAAGATTAAGTGCTAGAGAACTGAAGATTGATTATTTCACATTTCATTACTAGTACTAATTTTGTTAAAGTTAGTGTGTGACTCAGATGGAAAATTTTACAACTGCGATAGAGGAAGTGGAGCTTAGGGCTTACTATGAGTGAAAGTAATTCATATTTTACCAGTTGTTGTTGACTTGGTAAAAGTTAAATGTATGGCTGAAATATCTCCAGATCTATTTTATATTACACAGTTGACAAATGTCTCAATTATTCTGTTTATATAGGAGACCAAGGAAGTCGAGAAGTGGCCAACATGGAGAAAACAGTTCTACAGGAAGAAGAAGGACGGAAGTGACCTCAGATGATGAATCCACTGAGGATGTAGGTTTCTTTTCTTTAATTGTGTAGAAAATATGCACCAAAGTTAGATCAGGACTTACCTAGCTTGTTCAGAGGTCTTATGAACAAATTAGCTGTTTGTGATCTTGAGCATGCATGCCAAATTAATGACTAAAACTGTGATATTGTGGCACAGGTTCACAGGCCTTATAATAAACTGCTCTCACTCTCTGCTGTATTTTAAATTAAATGTGACAATTATTCTAAATATTGCATATTACTCTCCCCAAATAATGAAAATCATACTGTATTTTAATTAATTTAAACCCTCTTAGTCTTATGCGGTAAATAAATAACATGTAGCAAGCAAACATGTAGCTTAAACCAACTTGTAGGGAGCATTCATATTCACACTGGGCAAAATTCTTGCTAGAGTGCAATCAGTGGAGTCAGCATAATCAGCACACAATAGCTATTACCTCCTAGCTGCTTAAGGAGGCGTGTCAGACAATTAAGCTGATTTTACTGATTGAAAATAAGTGAGAATCTCCCACAGAGTTGGACCCGACCCAGCACAATATGTGAATCTGAATGTGGTCTTTTTCCATTAGGAAATAAAAGCCGCTCACAATAACTTGCTTATATTTCTATATCAGGCAGACACAGATGAAGGTGAGGATGAGACTGGAGAGGATACCACCCAGTCTAGTGGTAGCATACCATTTGCACAGCCCCCACCAGCAGCACAACCAGAAGCCCCCAGACCAGTATTTGCAGCCCCTCCGGAAGGATACAATTATCAGCAGTAAGTTCTTATAAGGGGCAGAGAATGACTTCTGGATGAAATGACTGTACATTTTTGAAGATATTTTAAAGGGATTTTTATTTCATTTTCCAATATTTTCAAAACATGTTGGAACATTTTTCATTTTCAGTTGTTTTTCTGTTTGGCATCTGTATATTTGCAAACATTGCTGTCTAATTTTCATATATTTCAAATTAAGTAGTGCCATAAATAAGCATCTGTTTTTGTACATTTCCAGTCGTCCTGGTCCATACCTGAGTCCATTTCAACCACAGGGTCTCCCACAGTATTTACCTCATGGCATCATGCCACCAATGCCACAGACTATGGGCATATTGCCCCAAGAAAGAACTTTTACACCCCCTGTAGTGCCGCCATCTAGTGACAGGGGTAATACAGAGGATGATGATTATGATACTTAAGGGAGACTCCTAATTCAGTTCAAGTGTTTTTGATTTAAACTGGAGGCACATTCTGCATACAGATTTTAAATTTCTTTTTCCTAATCCGAATGTGAGGTGGAACAGTTCAAATCTTTTGAAAAGTAGTTACGATGTTTGAGTGTGATGGACTTTGAATTTGCTGTTTTATATGTTTGTGCAAAAGAAGCACATTTCTAGGTAGTTACACTGGACTTGTGAATACCAGTTAAATATTTGTTAATTTCAAGAAGGTACAACACTAGCCTTAACCAATAATTTTTTATGTACAGACACTTTTTTTAAAAATTGATAATAATAATATCATAGGATGAAATATGCTAGTGGCTTATAATCCAAACCAAGCATCTGCACACTTCCACAATATTGATTCTAAATATCAGAGCAGTGAGTCTTGATAAATTTGTGGAAAAAAAGGATGAATGACATTATATTTTATTACTACCAACAAAAAGTATTATCAACTTTGTTAATTTTGTTTGTCAAATATATGAATTCAAGAGCAGACCCTTTTTCTTCATCAGAGGCCCATATATAATAAATATAAATTTTAATCAGATGTATAAAGGATACAACAAAGTGGGCTTAACAAAATAATAAATTTCACTCCCAATACACCATCTTGGACACTGACACATTCCAGTAAACACTACAAAACTGACCCCATGTTGAGCATGGTAGGCCATGTGACTTGTTTACATTGGTCTTCTTACACCCCATTTCCACAGATTTTTAGATCGATCTATCCCTGTGGGGAGTCTCACTAGATTACTGTCAGCTTGGCCGGCTTAAGCGTCTGTCCCGCCTACTAAAAGCTGTAAGGGGATAATTAACTATGGTGTCTGCTCGGCTGACTGCAATTTAGCCTGAACCCCCAGGGAGTTAGGTCGATCTAAAACTTAATCTTTAGATCGATCTAAATCTCTGGGAAAGCACCCTAAGTCATGACTAGACTTATTGCATTATTTTGATCTTTCTACTATACTCAAGTTATCAATCTACTTAAAAATGAACAGTGATTTCTGTCCACATTGGAATCACTGTATGGAGTTCAATTTGTTCACAGCACCACAGTGGGAGCTGTCCTCATTTCTTGTTACAGCAATAACTGGAAACAAAATATCGAGGTATTCAGTTTGAAAACAGGCAGAGTTTGAGAATTGCTTTATATGTTTTTTTTTAATTTTGGCCCTTTGAACACTGTTGTAAAAGTGATAACTTTCTGGGGCCTATAAGAGAATAAAAGGGTAATTTCTAGTCATTTGCAGTCATTTTTTGGGGGGTGGGGGTGTTATGACTTCAAGGTTTAACAAGAGGTGCAGGCTTATCAATGGGGTATTAATGTCAGTGGAGCAAGAGTGTAATGTGTAATGTGTATCACTGCAGAGATGTCAGATGTATATAGCTCTCTGCCGAAAACGACTTAAGATTATCATTTTATTATTATAACTTTTAAACCAGATATAAATAATTATACGGTACCACGTGTTGTAATCATGACTAGTACATCAAAATACAAGAAATAGTTCCAGATATTGCACTTAATTAACCATGTTTACATTGCTGTTCACTCAGCTCTGGTTTCATCTCGAGTTCCTGTCTCTCTACATTCGATGCATTTCTATGCAGATATATAGCCAGAACTGCAGACCAGGTCCTAAATGGTCCAAGTAAAAACGCCATGGTTCCATAAGCTTTAAAGAACCCTCCATATGCAAACCACACTTGCAAGAACACGATGAGTAAGAAACTCCAGTGATCCTTGACATAGTTTTTACAAGTCGGCTTGTCCATGGCTTTATCTTTCTTTAAGTTTCTGAGCCGGTGCTGTATACACCACCCAGTGTAAAGTATTAATGGAATGACAAACATTAAGATCTGGAAAAGAAAAGTTTTAGATATCAGCAGTAATAGAAGCAATAACATAATATCAGGGTTGCGTTTATAAAACCACACTTATACTCTGTACTGAAGACTTTTTGGATTTCATAGAACAGCCACTCAAATGACATTTTTAACAATTAGAAACAGTTGTTTTGTATACTGCTTCATTTTATTACACCTAACTTCTAAGCCCACTTGATTATTTAGAGCACTGATCCAGTGTCATATTAAAAAGATGCATTTTATTATTTATTACAAAGTGAGTACACAAACAGAAACACCTGTACAGCAACCACTGTATATCAGAGTACAAAATACTGCATGTTCATTGTTTTAGACAACCAGTAGTCAAACAACTGAACTTTGAAGTAGTAAGCATGATAGCAGACAGTTATGCTGGTAACAGGTAAATTCATCTCTGCAATACTGTGTGTGCATTAAATAGATCAAGCCCGCATTCTACTACTTACCTGGAAAAATCCATACACATAGGTGAGATTACTAGGAATCAGTGTACCATTCACATAGATCCCAAATAAAAAACACAGACCCACGTGGCCATCTAAGACATGTCCTATGAACCAGGGTCCTGAGGGAAAAGGAGAAAAATAAGTGGCAGAATGTTTGGGAAATATATTAAAATGTAATATGATAAAGAATGCCACTGACAAGGTTAAGGAAAGTCATATTTCATTTGAGATATACTGAGAACTACCATATATACCACTCTTTCTCTCAAAATTCACAACATGATTCAAGACAAAATATTTCATGATTCAAGATAAAATGTGCTACACAAAATAATTTCAAATCGAAATATAAAAACTGTTAAAAATGTATGTTTAAAACCCAAATACATAGCCAAGACAACATAAAATGTAAATGTAACACAATCAATAGCCTCTCTAATTAATATGCAAATTAAGAGTTTATTTAAATTTATCACTTAAACTCACCTATTGTTATATAAACTATGTATATAACCAATGGATAAAAAGTGTTATTGTATACAGACACATAATAAATCCTTCTGAGGATTTCATTCACCACATCGAAAAATCTAGGCAGGTGCAGGCAATTGACTGAAATATTCAAATGATAAATAATATATTTACTTTCCACCAATACAAAATGATTAACACAAACACTTTAACTTTAGACTACTGTATGATTTTTATGAAATACTTATATATTAATTTAACATTCAGCTGGCATCTTTTCCGTGGTGACATTAGAAGTAGAACAAAATGTCAAAAATCTTGCCTGTTTTCCTTTCTTTCATGATTCTAAAATAGAGCAAGGGTAAAAGTGCTGTTAACATCGCCACTGTGTAGAGAGTCTGGCCCTAAAACATAACAATTCATAATCAATTATTTAGTTGTTTTTTACCTCTGTTTATTATACATTTACATACGAAATGAAGATGTACAGCTAAACGTTAAATATGTGTGTTGGATATTAAATCCTGAGTGCTCAAAACATGAGATACAACAGGATTTAGTATAAAAATAAGTAGTTTAAGAATGCAGAGTACTGGCTCAAATTACCAAGGGTTAAAGGTGTACTTAATTTGACTTTTTTCAGCTTCAACTTTCTCAAAATGTGCATTTATTATATGTTCACATAACCAGGCACATTGCAATGTAAGATAAATGATACACAACAGAATAACTTAATTACTATATTGATAGGAACAGAAATATTTATAACTAGAGGATCAGAGAGGCGATACCGCCTCCAAANTCACTTTAATAGTGTGCACCCCCTTGCTGTAGTCTGTGGGGTTCCATGCCAGGACATACAGTGGACCTTTGGCCTGCTTTGCAAAGCCAACTTGAACTGTATCAATGCTGACCTCAACTGAGAGAATTTTACCAGGTGAGAAGACTAGCAGTCTGAAAACCATCAAAATCAAAAGTTTATATATATATTAAAATTAATAATAATAATAATAATAATAATAATAATAATAATAATAATAATAATAATAATTAAAATTTGTCAAATAACTAAATTCAATACAGTGAAATAGAAGTGTTGTCTTCACTTTTAAATGCCAAAGATATCCAGTTTTGAAATCACAAGGATGTTTTTTTTTTTCAGTTTTTGTATGTCTATAGGTCATATAACAATCATTACATGCCTTTAGAATGCAATATATTAAATTAGATGCAGACACATGTCATCATGATACCTGATATGAGTAGACTTCAGCATACGGCCAGTTGGTTCACGGTCAGGCAGTGTGTACAGAGCATCTTTGGGGTTTGTGATCAGAATAACAGGCCAGGTATCAAAATGAACATCAGTAAATGACATCAGATCATGATCCATGGCAACTACTCTATACCTGAAACAAAATAAAATAATTATATTGGAATTTAATATTTTAACAATGTTTGGTTGTCATCTATAACTTTTATCTGACAGTCTATATACTTGTTTGTGTTTGATTTATTTATTATTATTATTTATTTATCTATTTATTTTATTTATTTATTTCTTTATTATTTTTTTTTTGTATATAAATCACAAATCAATTCATATAATTACATTCTATTATCCTTCCAGTCTCCAAGTTCCAGTTCAAGATAACCCTCTTTCTGTAATGTATGCATCTTGGGGACCAGGCCAGCCAGGGTGTGCAGATGACCACACATGTAGGCTATGCCATGCCTGAAAACATGTTATAAGAAACAATACACCATCCCAAGGTCATAATACCAAACTTTGTTTTTGGCCAATGCTAAGCTACATACATTTTGTTAAGATAATTAACTCATAAATAAACTATAATTTTCAATATTCTTTGTCAAAACTGCACGGTTTCCCTTATAATAATAATAATAATAAGCTTAGTCTTATGATCACTTCTTGTCACTACAATTGTAATCATACAATAATTTTCAGAGGTGCCAACTTGAAGGTTACATGCACATACCAATCATTTTTAATTTTCATTTCCCCTTTGTTTTTAATGTCATTCTAATGTTATCAGTATACTGGCTGAAAGTTGATAGATCTTTTCATTTCAGCAGCCCAATGCTGTAGCATACCTCATGACATGACGCAGCCCCGGTTCAGGCATACCAATCAATGAAGTTGGGTAGTGACCAAACCATATGGTAGCATTGCTCTTCTCACTGGCTCGGGCAAACTCCTCCAATGTGTCTAAACTATCCTACAAGAGTCAATATAAATAATAAATAAACCTTCTAGCTTTATTATTTTTTAATTTTATGTGTAAAAATCTCAAGTAATTAAATCAATTTTAAAAAAGCAAGAATAAAGAGATAAAATAGGCAATGACATCAATCACAAATTATAAAAACTGTCTTAAATTATCAGTGAGCAGATAACCAAAAATCATATATTGTTTCAACTTTACTTGTGTTAGCATTCCAAAAAAATTAAATGGTCTCCTTGGTCCAGGGTTTGGGCAAGCATCAACTGCATTAAAAATATACTTCCCAAATGGCAATATTTCGACATGTTGATATGAATGGAAATGTTTTTTTCCTTGAGCAGAGTATGTCCTGCAAATTAATAATTGAAGTAAACTTTAGTATCAGTGCAAACAAAATTCAAATAAATAATGTGAACTGTAAACAATTAAAAAGTTTTATAATACAAAAAGCCATACGAAACAATCTGTAGAAAAATCTCATGCCTGTAAAAATCTTATGCAGGTAAAAGACAGCAATAAACGGGCCTGTTCACTGTTCAGAACCAAGCTGACCTGCAGACTTACTGATCTACGAATCAAATATGGCGTGCACTTGACATTGGATTCGCAGCCTCCCAACCAGGACATCCCAGCAGGGGTAGAGCAATTAAATCTTGGCAAGCTTTCAAGTGGGTTGTGCCATATTTGATCTGCAGCTTAGTTATTCTGCCAATCAACTTGGTTCTGAATAGGCCAAATGTGAAATTTAACACTTCACCTATAAAAATTCTTCTGGTTGGTCAGGGATGGAACATCAAATGCATCTGAAACAGAAAATAAAATTAATCTTTAAAAGCATCAATCAATGGCTTGATTTTCAAAAAATATATACCTGTATATTTGACAATTATTTTTCAATATTCTCAACTTTTTCAAATGATGCAGCCTTTTGTTACCACATGGAAATATAGAATTAAGGAACTTTATTACCATGATTCCCTCTAATATCTAACCAAGTGGTTTTCTTCAAGACCCCTGTTTCTTTCAGCACATCATTATACAAAGTCCACTCTTCCTGAAATTGGCCTGATCCCTGCAGATCTTTATGTTTGGCATCAGTCAAGTCACCTGAAGAATGGGTATAAGAAACTAATATACACATTTGCAAGTATAATCATATTCATCACATTGTTGAGGAAATTGTATGAAATACATACATCACATTTTAATAAATTACTGCAGTTAATTATTTTTAACAGCAGAAAGATATTAGATCCGTATGATATACTACATGTAGCTAACAACAAAATGGATACAAAAATTCAGTTTGTAAAAACAGAAATTACAAAAGGATGGAGCTACACAATCATTTTTGCCAGCTGTGCTTACTTTAGGCTGCATTCACATCGAGTTAAGCCATGGTTTTACAAAGCCACGACCTAAATATGGTGGACGTACATGAAAGGGAAAACCAGTCGTGGCTTTGTAGAGCATGGCTCAACTCGATGTGAATGCGGCCTTAGACACCACATTGTACAACAGAAAAACCACATACAAACCTGTAACTAATACTAATTTAGGTTTTATAGCATCTATGTGTGTACTGCAAAATTCTTTTAACTGGCTTACTCTAGCTGGATCATAAAATATGCTAAAATGAAGGTCTGATACCTAAAAAAAAAAAACAAACAAAAAATTAAATAAATAAAATAAAATAAAATAAAATAAAATAAAATAAAATAAAATAATGATATCTTTCAGCGTGTTTTCAGATAATGTGAAGAATTTGTTTTTGCTTTTGTATGACAAGGGTCCAGATATAAACCATTTACCTGGAAATGTTTCACTCAGTCTGTTACCAAAAAGATGACAAAGAAAAAAGCTTGAAAAACTGCCTAAAGAGGTCAAGCACTTTTATTTTCTTAAAAGAGTTATGGACTTTGTACTATAAACATGCAGTATGCCAACTTCCTAGACAGTATTTTGAAATATTCCAAACTGTTTTTCTCTTGTTTTTTCTTGCAATCATACATTTCTATAAAATCTATATTGCCTAGTACTTTTCCAAACCAAATCAATATAACATTTTACTTTGACAGGTGTTCTGAAGCTATTGCTATCATTTAATAAAATATTAACTTAGAGTACACTCATACATCCTAAAAGCAAATAGCATAACATGATCTGTTTAATTAAAGAGTTCTATAATGACTAGTTACTAGCATATGGGTATATTGCAGGCCACATACAATTTTATAATATATAAAGTACTGATCTCGGTACATCTTATTATCCGGCCTGCACTTGAACTGAAGGGATAAAAAACAGCTTTCCAGCATAAACCTTAATTTCCAATGACATTAAATCAAACATCAATGATGATGTACTGGGAGTATACAGGCACTAAACTAAAAAAAAAATGCATGGAGAAAGATGAGAATAATTCAAGTAAATAATAAATAATTAAGTAATTTTCATCTCATCTATAGCCTGTGTATGATAAAATTAATGGATTCGCTTTTTGTGCTTATCTGACTAACCATCAATGTGCATTGCTGTATCAGTCTTAAAGTTACACAACTAAGTGTTTTAACGTTGTACATATATGTCATACAGTGGAAAACGCTAAATTATTGAATATGCTAATTAAATGTTTGAAGACACAGCAATTTATACGGGTAACTTTTTCGTTTAAAGTTACAAAAATTACTATTAAATTGTATGTCACAGTTGCATGAAAATATTCAACCACTGCAAACACGTAGTCCGTAACTCACCTGTGCAAACCAAAATATATTGTCCTCCTTGGCACCAGGAAAAGGTGGTGCCGACCGAGAACTAAGTGAAGAGGTGTTAATTACTGGCCTTCTTATTTTATCAGTGATAAATATCTTCACTAAAAGCCCACATGATATAACTAAAGCCAAAAACAAAACAACTAATATAGACGATTTCATTCTAATTCAATGTAGAATGTCAAAAATCGAGTAGAATCAACTGTAGCAGACAGCTCACCGGCTGCACATCGTCATCCATAATAACACGGCATTGTGGGAAGCACTTTTCAAGGCAAGACAAAGAAATGAGACGGCAACAAGACGATTTTTTTCCTTTTATTCATTTCTGAAGTTAATTTTATTATTTTATACGTAAAATTTGTCTTTTTTCTAAGGTGCCTGTCAAAAACTACTTTTGGTCATACCTGTTCTTCTGTACTGAGAGACCGATAAAAGTAAAATGGCGTCTGCAGGGGAAGAAGCGATTTCGCCCAGTAACATTGTGTTTGAGGAAAAAGTAGACGGGGTAAGGTGATTGTTGACAGTCTAGAATACATTTGAGCGACATGTTTATCTAACTACCGATAAAACACGTCTAGTTCATATTTTGATCCGTCAATAATTGACTAGAAACAAGGAATAATGAATGACTTCGTAAATTTATAATGTGGATGACTGGATCTACATAACAGTTAATTTAAGTCTACGCCACAGTGCAGGTTATAGGTTTGATATGCTCAAATGCACTTACGTTATTTTACGTAGGAAACAAAGGACTTTACAAACATTCCACTTGAGGAAAATCCACAGAAAAAGAAAAAGCAACCTCGCCGTATCCTACACTTCAGTGATGGAATTCTTGAAGAATATTCTACGGATGAAGAGGAAGAAGAGAAAGACAAACCTGAACCAGTGGATCCTGTTAGTTTCTACCCTATCAGTTATATCATTCTTATGGAAAAATGGGTGATATGATTTAAATTGAACTAACAGTGACTGTGTTACATTTTCTTGCTACCGTTACAATAACATACCACTTGTGGCATTATAGATATTAAGCTGTCTACTCATTTCCTCACTTTTGGACAATGTTGTTGTAAATCACATAAATTCGGGATTAAATACAGCTTATGATCAGTATGAATTGAATTCCAAACAAAATGCATTTTAGAAAACATTTCATTGAGATTCAACTGAGACCATTTGTCTCTTTAGAGAACTACTGTTTGTTTTCACAAGTGCTACCAATACAACATGGTGAAATTGAATGTGATAAATACTAAACAATGTCTATTACAATGGTTATTATTATTTACTTTTGCTAAGTGTATACAAGGGGTTCATTCTTCAGATTGAAAGTAATTTATTCTTAATCTGACGTAGAATAAATTGAATTTTCATGTTCTGCAGAAATTTTTTTTTCTCAGTGATCTATACATTTGTATTTTGTAAATGATGAAACAGAATTCTGTGCAAGTAAATCTTTTTTTCTACTCATGGTCACATATTAACTTGACTACAACATTGTAAAAAGAAAAAATTACCAAGTTTTATTATGGATGCTGTATTTGTGGAACAAAGCTATGATTATATTATGAGCAGAATACTTAGAGATGTAAATGTCCTTCTGGCTTAAATGTGCAAAGTGTTCTTTCTCATTATAGAAAACATTGTCTTGGCTGCCATGGTTGTGGTTCTACTTTGTAGCCTTGGCTGTTGGTGCCTTAGCAGGTATAGAGACAAATAGTTGATTAATTAATTAATTGATTAATAGGAAACCTTTGAACTCATACATGGTAGGTTTTCAGTTAACAATTTAAGGCAGAAAATCGACTTGCTGGATAAATATTTTAAATGCATTCTTCATTTGTAAACATGAGTAATTTTAAATTATTGTGGTTAGAATTTATTCATGTTGTTCTGAATTCCAAATAATATGCCCTGCTATTATTTTAGTGGCAGATTACTGTGGAGAAAAACTTGCCTGGTTCTTTGGAATTACAACTCCTAAATATCAATATGCAATAGATGAATATCACAGACTTAGAGAAATCGTAAGTCAGTTTTTGTTCTTCCCCCTCCTCCCTCCCTCTCTCTCTCTCTCTCTCTCTCTCTCTCTCTCCCTCTCTCTCTCACTCACACACACACTCACACACACACACACACACACATGTACACACACACACACACACACACACACACACACACACACATGTACACACACACACACACACACACACACACACATGTACACACACACACATGTACACACACACACATGTACACANCACTTAAACCAAATCCATTTCTAAAGCATCAATTAATTTATAGATTGTATATATGTGCATCCTAAGGTGTCTAATACACATTTTACCTTCAAATCAATGTATTTAATTGTTTTTACATTTGGGTTCTGTGTATGTGCCAGTATACAGAGATAAGCTCTTTTAACTCTGAAAAAATGTCAATAGTCAGTTAATCATGCATATATATTATATGCACAATGATGGAGAAAAAAAAGGAACACACATTAAACACATGTACTGGTACTCTGATTTGCAGGAGGCATTTTCTCTTGAAAGGAGATATAACAGATTACAACTGCATGATGTTATGTGATTGACATAATAAATAATTTACTCCTAGACTAGAGTTTTAGGCAGTGCACATCTAATTTCGTAATTGATATGATATGATTATCTATCAATTCCATATCTATTTCAACATTTCTGTGTCTATGCTGTGTTTTAACACTGCAACTTTTTGTATGGAAAGTTTTTATCAGTTTGAAGCACCCTGCATGTGTTTTGTTGAAGATTGCAAAAAAGCAAATGAAGTTATGTATATCAAGATAGTCCATAACATGTTAACACCTTGGTATTTTCCACTATTTGCTGAATATTGGCATGCTGTAATATCAAGGGACTGTTGACAGTTCTTATTTGCCAGGAAGTTGATCAGTAGTAAATAATAGTGTGTGCTTGTATATTTCATTTGCCATATACATGTATTTAAAGCATGTAATATACCAAACTTGGGCCAGTTTTGGGCCTTGCTTTGTCTTGGGCTTGCATTCTGCTTGGTATAATAAAAGGAATATGAAATAAAAAGTGTTAGTTTTCTTGTAAAGAATATTATTACCTCTGCCAAGGAGGCTATGTTTTCACCCCTGTTTGTTTGTTTGAA